AACAACGGTACCACAGTTCACCATATCTCAATTATTGTAATACTCATTTATTCTAATACAAAATTAAACTATTCTTTACAAATACTCAATGCTCAAATACTTTTTCTTAATGGAAGTGTTTCTATTTGTATTTAAATACAATTTTAAAAGTATTTTTTACAAGACTGAAACAAGTAAGAGTTTCTATATTACCTATTAACTTAATTGGGAAAATAATGACGAAAAAGTATTTATTTTATATTCAATCGTATAATTAATAAATAATAATATCGTCTAAAACAACATACCTACCAGGCAAGTCTTCACCTTATTTGTCGAGTATGGACTCCAACTTCCAAGTAGAATTACATATATTTTAATAAAATAATATTAATATAATACCTTAATATATACATTTGATTTGACATGTAATAAATAATAGTAGGTACAATGAATGCCTATTAAATCATTTATCATTAATTGATATTATATTACTATAATCATACTCTTATAAAAATCATTACACACTACAAATTAATTATAACACATAGATTGAATATGTGTTAAAATGACGATTAGCATAACACATTCATTAAGGGCATTAATTCAATCACACATTGTTCTATGGTAACATGGTTCTGTACTTCAAAATTACCAATATAGTGTCATTTAGCAGTATTATACTGTAATTTTAATCCTAGCTTGTGTTATAATAACACATCTCAATACTAAATAGTTAAAGAATTGTTCATAGTAACAACTAACGAGGTATGTAAAATTAAAATTATGTTTCTATGTAAGTAGTTATTATCTAAGTATCTATACAACTGAAATTTGAAATTATTAATTCAATTATAGATAGTGTGTAATAAGAAGGATTAAAATACGTTTTTGACAAAGTATTTAGTTAGGTATTGTTTAAAAATATGAGAGTTGTAATACCTATTCAGGGTCGTATTTACAATTTTTGTGCCCTGGGTCAACCATAATTTTACAAACCCCCCCCCCCTCCAACTAAAAAAATAGATCCACTTTATTGATTTTTCTTAACAAATTCTTAGCTATAATTCTTTAGGGTTAAGTCCATTTATAACTGTGGTTATGTTAAAATAATATTAATTATATTCTATGCTAGGCGCTAGCACTTATCTGTTATCGTTGCACTGCTAAGTTCACAGGGGTCGAGTCATAGTACAAATTCTTTCAAAAAAAAAATATATTTATTGAAACAATACTAGACCAAGTTACAGCGGTGCCCGGACATCCGCTAAATAGATCAATATTTGGACGCCTGGGGCAAATGTCCGCTTATCACTATATTATGTGTGACTTATGTGGTAATTATAAAAATTAATTAACTAATTTTTGACGGAATTAAATTAATATTGAATTTCCATATTAACTTTTATAATTAAATACATTGGTTTTTTAACCTTAAAATCCTAAATGACTTAACTAAACTATTAACTTATTGCAAAGTAATTTTATACATTATTGTAGGATACAAAGGTTAATTTTGTTAAGACATGGTTTGACTTGAAAAGAAATGTTAAAGAAAATGCTTAAAAATAAGATCTTCTTATCTCTATACTGGGAGAGGAGAAGCATCAAAAAAACAATTATCCGAATTAGAAGAAAAAATAGTAGGCATTACCAGAGAAACTATGGTTGAAAACCACAAAAAATTAGGTACATGAATTTGGCTCACCTTGTATTAAAATAAAAGTAACTAATGATATATTATTGGCTATAAGTGTACAACTGTACATATATTTAAGTATTCTCAATCGTATCAAATTAAATATTGTTTATTTAATTAACATATGCACCTAACCAACCAAAGTAATGGTCCAGCAACTTAGATAGAGAGCAAAGTAATGTCATTTTTATTTAAAATATTTTTTAACTAAAATATGTTGTAACCACAAATGTTTATTTCTAGGTTTTAATGAATACATATTAAGTTTCTAATATGGAATGGAAAGGATACACCAAAAAATTATTTATATGAACAACCAGTATAATGAGTAATGAGTAATGACACATTAATAACTTAGTTGAGTAATTGTTTTTAATAACGGTTATGATTTATTGGATATAAATCATTGTATCCCAACTTATATTAAAGATATTGGTGAACCTTTGAATATTCATGAACCAGCGTCAGAAAATGTTATGGTTTTTTGATTTCCCAGTGGTATGCAATTATTTTAATGTTAATTAAATTATAATTTATTAATAAATATAAATTTTCTAGATGAACCAACAAGAAAATGTATTGCGAAAGAATTCTAAACAAGCTAAAAGTGAGTATAATTTGGACAGCTGTCCCAAAGTATAAATATAAATTATTCATTTAAATAATATGTACTCAATTAACATTTACCAATGATGTTTTTTTTAAATTTTAGTTAGTATTTGTGTGTTGATTATTAAATTATTGTTTGTAAATTATTGTTGTACAGAGCAAACTGAAATTGATTATCTAATTTACATGAAGCAAATGTTAAAAATGGAAATGACAAAAACTATTGCGCCTGAGTCATTAGTAATAACAGCATCAAATATTCTAGAAACACTTAGAAATATAAATAGTTTTTATATAGGTCGTTTATTTTATGTTTATTTCACATAGTATGCATTTAGAATTTAGATTAGACTTAGACATAATATTTTACCTAAATGAAATGAAAAGACATAATAATATTAATTAGTTTCTAAAACATTTAAAAGTATTACATTTAGTATTCTTTTCTATGTTTAGCAGTACCTTTTACACTGTGATTACAATCCTATGTTTTATTTACACATCTCAATACTAACCGCTGGGTTGTATTACCTTGGATATTTTTATTACTTCTGTACAATTTTCAATTTTGCGTGCGTCCGTTTTTATATCAATATCTCTACCTGCAGATAGGTACCTACGAAAAAAGAATATATTAAATTCACCAGATTTCATCTTGTTACTAAATGCTGTCGTTTGTACTAATGAAGGTAATTTGAAGGTACCTTCAATAATGTAGTTCTTAACTATTACCTACCTACTTTATTGTATTTTTGTGCTCGATGAACCTAATTTTTAAACTGTAAGGGAGGAAAGTAAAAATACAACCCAACTACCAACCCAAGTCAACCTATAAAGTATAAAGCTATACTCTGTCTTAAAACTTAAAATAAAATATTCTTTCTGTCGACTGATTTACATCTGTGCTGCGCATCTCTCACCAACTTCCCGGTGTTAGTGTGACCATGTGGTTCTCGAGGAGCTAATCGAATTATTCACAAAAAGCGATTGTTCTCTTTTGAGACAGAATATAGGATTGTCATAGCATATAGAATAAGTTAAAGTTGTACAATATGATTTTTTTAAGATTGATTAATACATTTAAAGGAGGCAGTTAGGTACTTAAATTCTTTTTACTCATTTTTATTTAATCACATAATAATATGATGGTATCTATGATGTGTTATATTTGATATAGCTTATACCATAGAACACGTCTTAATGTTCTTTGTTTATATCTACCTAACCCAATACCTAAAAAATTTAATACACCTAAAGGTTAAAATCTAAAATATTTTATTTTTTTAGTAAAAAGCCTTCTTTTCACAAATATGTTGTAGTTAATAATCATTAATCAGTGGAGTGGAGAACGGTAATTTCAGAAGCAATTGTTTCTAGCCGGAGCCTGTGCCAAAAGTGAAGGAATGAGGGGATATATCCCTTTTTTCCATATTTATAATTTATAATTATGTTATATTATACTTTTGTATAAAGAAAATAATGTGAATAATAATATCTTTTTATAAACTGATTATTATGAATATTCACAATTTTAGATGGGTAATAAAATTATTGTTTTTCTGATTAAATAAAAACAATACTCTCTGATCTGATGGGGGTAAATGAAAATATTTGTATGAGTAAAATAATCACTAAATTAATAATTCAAACAAAACATTTATTTCATAAAAAATAACTTTTTAGGTGTTTCTAATTTATTTTCTAATTATATTTTTAAAAAAATATTTAGAATGTGGTTGAGGTACACTTATATAGAGAAGCTTAAAGTATATAATAATAGATCAGATATAAAATATAATTTAATAATAAGTAAAATTCAACAATAAACAATAATGTTACTAGGCATTATAAAAATTCAGTTTTACCTTTTGTTCCACAAAACATCTGTTCTGATAGACTTTTGTTCCGTACAACACCTGTTCAATAAATATTTGTCCCCCCCCCCCCAAAACACTTGTTCCATGAATATCTGTTCCACAAAAAACTTGTTCCATGAATATTTATTTCGAAAAAACACTTGAAAAAACATACTACATGATACATTATGGCTAGTGCTCTCTAACGGTTAACTCATTCTGAGTCAAATAACGAATTTTGTAAATTATCGTGCCTCTCCCAGCCGGTAGACTGCGCTCACCCGCCGCCCTATTTGTGAACAACCCTTGTCACTAGCGAAAAAGCACTTTTCATTAAATTTCAACCAATATTTAAAAATCTGACAATACAGTGTATAATATATATCATGTACTAAATCATCTAAAACACATAAAAAAACCATAAAACCACTATCTAATTAGTGAAAAACATAGAATCCAAAATTGCAACTAGCATTGATTACTGGGAGCGTGTTCGATAAATACCAGACAATTTCGCCACCAAACCCGCTGGACCGCGCGTATCAGAAAAGGATTGAGGAGCGAACCAGGAAATATCTCATCTCAACAGGCCTTAAACGACCGCACGTGCACATCCGATTTCGATGAAGATCAGCGACGACCTCGCACACTGAAGCCATTTCCTGACGAACATCGTCCAAGGAAACTGCCCGCGTTAAATCCGCACAGCGATACTGCCGTCCGTTGTCGTTTTGTTATCGCCGCAACAGGTTATCATTGCTGTTGCCGGACCGTCGCCTTCACGACCACCAGTGCTACCAACTCAACGATTCTGTATTACTAGTTGCTACAGACTGGTCGGCGACCATAATATTGTTTTTGCCGTCCGTCCCGTTTTACACGTCTTGTATCCACAAGTCACAACCTGTACGGTTATAGTGCAGACTCCACCTTCTTTCGTCACAGTTTATAAACTGTCACCCGCAGTTAAATGACAATTAGGAATTTAGGACTATCACCGTAGGGAGTAGGGACCGACCAATAGTACCGTAGTGAGTTTTTTCTTTATACTGATTAATATATCTCATCAGTCAACGTTGCCTCCTCGATATTTTTTAGTCCCACATAAACTGTTATTACACACATTCGAGTTAAAAAAATTAAAAAATGTTCAAACACTCTAAACAATCACGAAGGAAACGTTGTGAATTATATTATTTAAAGAATAAAAAGCTACTGTCACTACTACAAACACTGAATTGACTTGTAACAGTGGTGTACAGAGGTATTCTGAAAGCACAAGCAGTTAAAAAAGTTGAGAAACCAGTAATTTCCTCTCGTCTTCCCGAGAGCAAAAGCAGTTGCAGTACTTGCTAACCTGTCTGGACACCACTGGACTTGTCATTACTCAGTTATGCTTCTCTCCCAAACGCATTTGAAATAAGTTCTCGTCCTAATCGACGTAATTAGAAAAATGAACATAAAATAATGTCCAGTAACAAGTACACTTATTCATTTAGGTATATCGTCTCTCAGTCTTATTTCATTTTATTTTAAGATAAAATGCCTTCTACTAGTGAAGCTCTAAATAGCTCTAAAGATAATAAAACACACGATGCTATCTGTCAAGATGATCTAACTCGTCATGAAAAATACATAACAGGTAAGTTTATATAAATAATTACTTATATTTTTCCCTGATATTTAATTCTAATAAAGTAATAATATGTTGTATAATTTAGATACCAGTATCCAACCACCTAAAAGTGTTCAAAATAACGATGATTTAGTATCAGAAGTATTGGAATGGTTATTGAAGGAAACATATAAGGATCAGATTAACCATATAGAACAAATAGCCAAAGAATCCCCAGGGATGAGTGAAGACTTATCAAAAAGAAAATATGTAAATTTTAAATGTTTGAAGCCCTCTAGAACATGTATAGTTTGTATGGAGTTTAGAAAAAAATTGTTGTCAGCATACCACTTAGTCAAAACTGTAAATAATGAGTTTGTGCCTTCAGAAAAATGGATGCAATTTATAAAAAAAAAATTTGAAGGGAGTAATTTTTATTGGCTATCCGAACAAATCGCCAAATACTCTAGTTATGACTTTGAAGTTATATTAAGAAATATTTTCGAAGACAATTATATAAAGAAGGTAAATAAAAATCATTATGCCCGCACGGAAAATTTAAAAAAGAAAAGTATAATGGACAGCATTATTGATACCAATTATTGGTTTCTATTAATATCGAAGATTAAGATTTTAAATATGAAAAATACTGTAAATAGTTTAAAAAATCACGTTGAAAAGTATAACTTAGAATTATTTACTCGTGAGGAAAATGATAATTTCAACGAGAATATAAAGCTTGAAAAAAAAAAATAAAACGTTTTTTAGACACAATGGGTATCCGTAATTCAAATGTAAATTTATATGTTAAACGATTTGGTAACAGTGTCATACGGTCTAAAATTGTTCAAAATAAAAAACGTGTAGGGAGTATTAATTTTTATTTGGCTCAACTGATGATATGGAAAGAGTAAACCCATATACAAGAGGGAATACTTTTGTAAATGGAAAACTTTAATTTGGTAATGTTCAATATCTATGAGTTTAAATATTGTACATTTTAGCAAATACATTTATTATTATTATTATTTATTATTATTATACAATTAAAATAACTAGTATCTATATAAACACTATATTACACATTCATTATATTTATTTTTTTTAAGTTATTAAATATTGTTCAATTTTAATTTTAAGTAATTTATTTTATTAGTAAAACTTATAATATGTTATAAAAATATTTGTATCTTATTTCATACAATATCATTTACCTACAAAATTATAACTCTCTGAAGCATTATTAGCTATATCCTTATTATGCCAATATCCATGTGTCTTAACATTATATTTTATAATGCATATGACTATATGAGACATGTCACACCAAGTCAGTAGTCACTAAGATAGTAAGATATTATAAATTATAATTACCAAATAATACTAATTCCGTTGAGCTTGAATTTTTTTCCACTGTAAAATGTATTATAATAATTCTAAACAATATTTGTTCTAATACTAACCTAGACATATTTTGACACTTGTTGGAGCCTCCTATTGAATTATTCCAAGTTGAACTTTTCATTGTCAACTTCACACTTAGTATTAAAATTGTGGATTCGATACAACCGTTTTTAAAAGGAGTTCAATATATGCAATTTCTATGTGTGGTGGTCGTGTAAAATGTGCGTAGTAAGTGATCATAGTGTGAGACTGTATAAAAATAAAAATAGTAGAGAGCTTCCGCACGTGCATATCGTACTTGTAAATAAAGCATTACACAATTAATATTGATTATTTTATTTAGTCAAAAGTGTCAATATTATTTTGTTTAACCCATTTCTTCAATACAATTTCTGAAAACTTATTTAAATTAGTCATAAATTTTATGAATGAATCATGATTAATGAATATTCGAAAAGACATTTACATAAAATTACAATGAATATATAAATCAAATAGTTTCTATAATGAAAGGTTAAATATACGTCGACAATATTATCACTAAACAAGCTAATGCAAAATTTTAAAGAAAACAAGATGACTACATTCATTAAATTAAAACATTTTCACATGATTACTCCAACAAAAAATAATCAACATGAAGAAATCGATGATAATAATTTTAATAAAACTAGCATAACGATGAAAATAAATTTTTTTAAATATAAATACAACTAAAAATACGAATATTTATGAAGGACATTTTGAACCGCCTCCACGTGGTACCCTCTGGATTACGCTCGATGGTTCTAATTTTGTAAAGGCACCCAGTAAAATGTTTTTAGGAGATTTTACATTTGCCCGTTCAAGCTATCAGGAAGGGAAGAGATAAATGTTTGGAAACTAATTTATTTGCACTTTAAACATGAGAGGTATGAAAATAAAATGTTAGCAAATTATTGAGCACCAATTATTATTTATTAGAAAAATATAATTACACGAGAAAAGGTAACCTAGAAAGCTAGAAAATAATACTATAGAAAAATGAATAATTGGAAACCTATAATCATGGAAACATCACACACTGAATAAAATATCAGTGAAAATAATTAATTAGAAACTTAAACTTTAAACTTGCCACGGAAATGCAAAAAAATTAAGTTTTTGTAATTGTATTTTCTGTATGTTTAAATTTCAAAAAAAATTAATTTCCGTTGTATACTATAGTACTGTACACTTTACATTCTAAGGTCTGATAAAAATATGTGCAATGAATAATGTTGTTATAGTATTTAACAAAATTAAACTTTGAAATCCATGCTTGCTGTTGTTTTAGATTGTGAGCGGAGCGATACATATTTTTTTGGTGTGATATGTTTTTTTGTGTGTCTGTCATCACCTTTTGGGTCTATAAAAATGCTTCGATTTTCTACATCAGCATCTTTTCCGATAGAAAAGTGAATCTAGTATTCTAGTCGGTACTCCGGGAGGTCAAAACTACAAAACTGCTCAACAATTATTAGGGAAACCATCTGTTATAGTTTCTATTAATAGTCCCTTATAGCGAATATACACGTCATCTACATATAGTTTCGTTTTCGAATGATCCCATCATTAAATTTGCGATTAGAAGATATGATACTAGAAATAATGCTGAAATATTTATTTTTATGCTGAACATTACAATAGAAGTGCGAAACGTCGAATCCATTCTAGTACAGTAGTTTAATACTACCCATTGGCAATTATGTTGCATGCTGAAGTGCAGAGCGTAATAGTCCGTGTACCTACATTGTTTGGTCTGCTGCAGCAGGCATTTATCGACAGGTGAGTGACCCATTTATGGAAGTTTTACTTCCACGCATAATTTAATTCTCAAGTAATTTTTCAATGAATTACAATAAAGTCACTATTATCTATTATTAAAAATATGCAAAATTTGAATTTGAATAAGCGCCATGGTTAAAATTTTTTTAATAGTATGCAAAACTTACACTCGAGCACATAAAAATAATTATAATAATAATAATAATAATAATAATAATATGTAGTAATAACTTTAGTACCTACTGGTGGCTACTACCACCACTGTATTTTGTATTTGTTATTTTACCTAACATATGCGTAAACTATAATATAATATGTAAAGCTACTTTAATCATTAAAGACCGTTCCACCTGGAAAAAGATATTCGTGATCGTTAAAAATAGGTATCGTTAATATTATACAAGGACAGGATACTGCAGTTACTATAATAGTGTTAGGCGCTCGTCTCGCTTCACTCTTCTAGTTGCATGCCAGTGTTGTACTGAAATATGTTTTATGAAATAAATTGAGATAAATTGTATTGTTCACTATTAAATGTGTTGAGAATCACATAATATATATTTTTGTATTGAAGTACTATTATAATGATGATTAGTGTGGTACCATCATATAACTAAATACAAACATTTTTGTTCTTGTTGAGAAAAATAAGTTCCAACTTTAAATTTGTTTTGCATATTGGCAGGTCCTTTTTTATTTATATCTCATAAATTATATAGTATTTGGCCATAGTTTTCAGATATGATAGCGTGTTTTATACGAATTTTCGCTATCAATCTTTGATAATAATAATTCGGTTATTGTTTTAAATTAAACCATTTTTTTGATAAGAAAACCCTACAAAACAAATTTAATTGATCTCATTATACCTATTAAGTTTAATAATATGACAATATGTTATTGATTAACAGAATTGTGATAGCAATTTTCCTTTAGGACGAGGCTACATATATTTAGTTGACTATAAAAAAAAATATAAAGAAAATTATTATAAATCAATAGAAAAATTGTGCCCACATACATATTCAAAGGTTTTTTTAAAAGAGGAAGTCTCTAGTCATAATAATAACTAATATAGTAATATGTAATAACAGAATGGCTTGACCAGAGGATGCATGCGCCATGCAGTTGTACGCGTTTAAAATGAAACCAAAAAACAAAAACATAACTAAATATGTAATTATTGTGTGAAAAAATTAATGCATTATTAAATGCAACCCATCTTGTGTGGGCTATCCAATGAACTCCTCAACCGTGTAGGTTACAATAGCAAAATATAAAATTATTGTGATTATTAAGACATAAATTATGTAAAAAAAACAAAAAGTGCGCGGTTCGAAACGTTTTAATTATTTGTTTCCGGATCGGGTCCCGTTTTGAACCACTCTTTAATTTTTTACAGTATAGGTAGATATTACAAAGTAAGTATATCAAAAACGAAAAACGAACACTGCGTGAAATAACTTCTTGCAGGACCGTGCCTGCTGCCCATCTACGTAGGTATATATTAGTTGAGCTTGAGCAATATAATACAGTTTATTATTTTGTAATTCTATTTTTTATCATTACCGGGTCTCGTATATACGTGTAACTATATACAGTATGTAGTTACCGAACTATACAATCAAAATCTAAAAATAATTAATGGGTAGGTTTACCTGTGTAATAATATTGTACCAGACGATATATACCTAAACATATATTAACTCGATTGATAAGTCGCGCTGGTTATGCATTTATACGATTTACGGCTACAGCACGGTTGGGCACAAAATCATAATGCGGTTTTGCACAATTTTAATTGTTTCTGATGTCATAACTAGTTGGTGCACCATAATAGTCCATATGCTAAAATAAGTGAGGGGTGGAAATCCAAAACGTACTATTGCCAAAATACCAATTTTTCAGGACAAGTGATATTCTGTTTCCCAGCATTGCAAATAAAAACAAAAAATATTTTTTAAATAATTTAATAATAGGAATAGTATTTCTATTTACAGCGAATAAAAAGTATACTCTAGGATTATATTTTCAATTTAATTGCAGACTAAGTTAAAATTGTAGTACATATTGGATTTAATATTTATTACTCCCCTTTACATATAACACACGGGTAATAGTACGCGTTGGCATAACAAAATAAAATTACGTTTTGGAATAATTTACAGAAATAGTTCGTTTTGGTAAAGGTAATGACTGGTGCCTATTCTTTTAAGTTTTAACAAGGGCAGTAGTACGTTTGGAATGAAAAAAGTACGTTTCGATTATCTAAATATCATTTTAATGTAAGGAAAATTTTCGTTTTGGATTAACCAGTGACCAGGAAATAGAACTTTTTGATTTATATTCAAACGAGTAACGGGGCCAATCGTTTTATCGATGTTTTTTTTCCATAAGAATGGATATCTAACTCGATTTAAATTTTGTCAATTTTGGCAATAGTAAGTTTTAGATTTCCACTCTCCAAATAAATGTAGGTTTTTTATCTAAGTAAAGTACAAAAAAATAATAAAACTTTTTTATAGTTAGATATCATATTACATTAT